TTTCAGTAGCTGCAATATACGTGTATAATTTTTTACATAAGTAATCTCCACTAGCTATTACCCTTTCATGATGGGGTTGCATTTAAATACATTGGAATTCAGATTATAAACGAAGGTATATCATCGGGAAACTACTGTAAAGCGGCGAATATCTATAAACTATTAGCATTGTTTAAAAAGAATCTTTCTTTTTTTTAAATGCATATATTATTATACTAATACATTATATTAATAGAATTCTTTTTTAAACAATTCTATTAGTATAAACTGCTCACCTTCTTTGTGGAATTATCCAAATCCTTGTTCATGGCGAAATTATTTAATATAATTCCAAAGAATCACCAATCATTCCATGTCATAAAAATATTCATTAGGTTTGTTGTTTTTAGTACGGTATTTTTTACCTGGTATATAAGGATATTATAGGCCAGTCTAGGATGTTAGGCTTCTCCTACTCGTATATAAAATCAAAGCAAATACCTCGAAAGGGCCAGAGCCAAAGAATACATTAAATATAAAATATACCAATGAAATTACACCGGTACAACCGCTTAGATCTTTAGAAGAGGTTTTTGACGAGAGAATTCCACGCACTTAGAACTACCACCGAGACTCGCACTAAAGACATACAAAAATGAATTTATGTTGCGTTGGTGTGGCGAAAGAAAATAAAGTAGCAAGAGTTGCAAACACTCTATAGCCTTACATGTAATACCAGACCTACACCTTCTACATTTAGATGATCAGAAATAGTTATTTCCTAATTGCCAAGGTGCACTAAAAACTATTGAAGTCTACAACTTATGGGTCAGTAATAGTTACTGCAAATAGTCTCTCAAGAAATTGTCAAAGAACAACAGAGTAAGTTTCTTGCAGTTTTCAGAGGATAAACGAATTGTTCGTGACATTATTGATAGTTTTGTTAAAGAAGGAGGTTTTGCTGAAATGGGTGAAGTTCATTTGGTATTTGATCTTCTCTCGGTGATTTGCGACCCTTTAATTTATCAATTCCCAGCTTACATAGAATATAATTATTTCATCAGTGATTATATTGTGAGTTTTCAGTGATGCTTGTTCATCTTCTCTATTAATACCGCCAATTGTGAACGGGGCGACGAATGGGTGGATTTAGTAACCCAGAAAACACTTCCAACATCAGCTAAATCGTTACCGTCTGAAAACAATAAGATAATTGCTCAAAGAAAAGGCAAACAACCTCGCATATGGAAGGTAAATATGTCTAACGCGAAAAAAAACTCTTAATACAATATGTAAAATTTCTTCTCTTGCACCCACAGCTGACTAAATTGGACTAAACCTATATTTTAGTATTACCCTGGTAAAATTATTAACAAAAATATACTCTGATATATATACAATTTACATTAAATACACTTAAAATATATATACAAACTCTTATATGTTTTACTACTAATTACATACAAAATTTTTGACAATATGATAGATAGCTTACAAAATCACCAATTATGCCTACTTAAATGTTTTGTCGCTTAAAATATTTCTCTTTATAAACAAAATTGAGATATTAAAAAAATATTACTTAATTTCTATTGTGTCACAAATATGTCAAGTGCAAAAACTAAAGAATTATATTATAGTAGATGTAAAATTTGTAAAATGGGATAGACTATTTAGCGCCTTTGCACTTCAATCTAACAAGATCTTTTGTGCGTTGGAGGAAGGAAGGAACTGCAAACAATTCTTTAATCAACTGGCTAATCTCAATGAAGTAACTTTGTTACGAGATTCTTGATAGTCCTGTTAAAGAAGGAGTTGATGTCTTCCGATATATAAAAGGATAGTCCTTTTAATGGATAAAATCCATTTTCTACTATACTAAAAAACCGTATATGTCTAAAAATTTGGAAAGGAACTTAGTGAAGCCCACTGGAACAATATTTCTGACCAAAAACAGGTAAACAGATTATTACAACCTTCTGACTCCCCCGCAAAAATAATAAAACTGAACGTGATTATGCGATAAATACATAGATTCTGAGGAATTGAAAGACAAGTATTCAAAAATAATATGGCGTAAGGAAAATGTAATTCTGAACGAAGAATTTGCAGGGTAAACCTGTGATGCTTACTACTAATGATATAAAAAATATGTTGGCATCTGTATATACAAGTTAGTAAAAATGACAAACATTAGAAGATACTGGTTTAATGCTTTAGGACTTCCCCAGATAAACGAAGTTATGCCTCAAAAAAGATTTGAAAAAATTCGTCAATATTTACATTTTAATGATAATAATGTACCAAGAGATCATCCTAATCATGATCGTTTACATAAGCTTCGTCTGATTGTTGATGCACTCAACATAAAGTTTCAGTCAGTTCTTCAAAAACATTTATCTGTTTATGAACAGCTATGTGCCACCACAACTCGATACCATATGAAGCAATATCTTCCAGGAAAACCCCATAAATGGGGATAAAAATTGTATGTTCTCTGTGGAATGGATGGTTTTTAATCTACTTTTGAAATTTATACAGGTTCAGAAAACGATCCGATATTTCGTGAGATAAATGAACCCAACTTGGGATCAAGTGCCAACGTTGTTGTCAGACTATCACAATTAATGAGTATATTTCAATATTTTTTATACTTCTGTACCTTTGAAGGTCTACCTATTGCAACGTGGTATTTTCTCGTTGGGAACGGTAAGACGATCGAGATTACCTAATTGTAAGCTGTTTGGTGCAAAAAACTATCTTGGTTACATAAACTAATGGACGAGTTTTCAGGTGGAAGATCTGAGTGGCTGATGATAGAGAAAACTTCCATAACATTATAACATATACAGCACAACAAAAAAAGAAATTTTATTTTAAACTTTAGCACAATTGGAAGCAAAAAAAGATAACAAATTGCAATGTACAAGGTTCATTAGTTGTTATCTAGGCTACACCTCAAGAAATATTAGGCATCAAATAGCATATGTATTGATGATGTTACTATTATTCTGATAATAACTTAAAATGACTTGAAATTTTTTGAATACATAATGTAAGTTTGCTGCATTAAGTAGTGTGTCACAGCAAAATGATAAACAAAAACTTAAGATAAAACAATAAGTATCGTGATTAGAAAGAAATGTCCAATAATACAATAAATAAATTAGTGGGTGACATAAAGGAAATATCTAATGATATTTCTTGTTTAATTTTGTTAACTGTTTCAGGCAAAGGTCAATCATTTGGTAAATTTGATATACTGATAAGGATCCTATAATTGGTAGTATAGTGTAAATATTGTTTACAAAAACATTTCCCAAAGTGTATTCTTATCAGAAAAATATAATGTAAATCAAATATTTTTATTACACTGTAAAATGACCTACTCATTAGGAACACTACATTAACAAAATATAGAAACTATGTATATGTAATAATAATAAGAGAAAATGATCTAAAACTTTTCCACTTAAAAAATCTAAAGTAGATATATTTTGTAGCATTCACAGATAAAAATAAGTGGAAAAACAAAAAAACAATGGAATAAAACAACCTTGTATAATAAAAAATAAAGCAACCAGTCTTCACATAAATTAAAACACAGAAATAAATTCAGTAAAAAAAATGAACAACCTTAATACAATATTTATTTTTATAAATTATTGAACAGCGAAATTAATAATTTGTGTAACTAGAAGTACAGTGATCACAACAGCTGGTATGCACAACTTTGCAAAGTAAAAATTTAGTAAAAGCCGAATATTTGTTTTGTATTAAATTAAACGAACAAAATAAGTGATATTATATAGAGGAGAAGTGTTTTTCTGAAGTGATTCAATTGCTTATTTTATTAAAGTATCTAAAACATGTATGAAGTCTGTATTTTGGCTCATTCACATGGATCTATTGATATAGCAACATATAAATTTAACCTTAGAGAACAAAAATTGCGTTGAATCTGTGGTAGATTTAAAAAAGATGCAAACTTCAATGGAGAAAAGATGCATAAAGTTATTCAAAAGTATTTTGTTTTTGAAAGACAGTGCTCCTGCACACAAAACACATGTGGTTGTAGAGTTTGAATTACTCCAACACCCTCCTTATTTAACAGAAGTAGTACTGTTACCCTATTGTGTCTTTGCTAAACTGAAAAAAGTCTTAAAATGTACATTTTCTTCCAATAAGGAGGTAATAAATAAGCTCTGGAGACCTGGTTTGCAGAGTTGCAGAAACCTGGTTACATGTATCCAATTAAGAGGAGATTATGTTGAATAAAATCTTACAAAATTTATACTGGATTTTGTAATTGATCATTGTTTTATTTCATTGCTTGTTTATATTATTATAAAATACAATATGCATAAAAACCTGGTAAATTAGAACCTATTAATATATGTAATTAATATGATAATGGTTGGAATATTTAAATATCTTGACAAACATTAAAGGAAGACTAATTAAATTCAGTTTAAGAGATTATACTGAGAATTTGGCAGTGACAGATTTAACAAATTTCAACATCAGACAGACTCATGATATTTTTAAATTGAATGAGCAGTTGGTCTTAGTATGTTTATTCTGTTTAGTTGTAGTGTGTTCAGCCATGGGATTTGTATTGATTATGGAGAATAGAATAAACTATTTGAACACTCTATATATACTCAAAATTCCATGGACCAATTGAATTATAAACAAGGAAGTTCTCATATGATTGAATAGTAATATGAAATATAGTTAATAATAAAAAGTCAAAAACTGTAATATTTTGGTCATATGAGAGGAAAAGTAGGTTGAAGTAAAATCAACACATTTATTTTTTGATACAACAGTCCCTAAGACACTGAGTATTGCCAACATACAGAACAGATGGAGCATGCCAAGTAGGAGAAGATTTCCTAAACGTTAGCAAATTTCCAAAACATTATTTTTACAAAAGTTCCTTCCTAAAATGTAAGAAACTAAATGTAAGAAATTTCTTACTAAAAAGTAAGAAAAATCCTTCCTAAAATGAATATAATTTAAAAGACCCTTTTGGGCTACACATGGAATGTTTTTGGACTAAAAAGCATCTTCAGTGTATTACCAAAACCCTTAAAATAGTAGAAAATTTATTATGTGCTACATTTTTGTTGAAAAGATGTTGTGATGTTAAAGTATTTAACATATACCTAGCATAGCAACATAAAACTCCCAATAGGAGTTGCTGCTGATCCTGAGACAATGTCTGAATGGGTTCCAATTGCCATCTAGAACTATTTGTACCATTTTAAGGGTTTTTACCCAAATAATTAGTGACTTGACCCCTGTATACCTGGTAATAATACGCAGATGATGAACTTTTTAGTCCCAAAACGTTCTGTGATATATCCCAAAAGTGTCTTCTTAATTATATACCTTTTATAAAGGATTTTTAAATAAAACTTTTTTGATTCATGGTATACAGCCAACTACAGCAATTCGTTTTCCTTGTGTGTTTTTTTCACCTTTTTTTCTCAGAAATTTTCAACATTGTGAAACAGATTTTTTGCTAAATGCACAAGCATATTTTATTAGGAAATTTAATTGTGTACAATATTACTTCTATGTATTTTTCTCATAGATATGATACTGTTCTAGATATGCAGGACAAAAGGTTGATAAGTAAGGGTCTATAACATTGATTTTTCATTTTAAATATTTTCCTCATTCTTCCAGAAATTCATCTACTGGAACATATAGAAATTTTAATTGTGAACAACTTTCCAGAGTCATTTATACAAAAATCTAAGTTCCTGCTCACTACAACCAACTCATAAACAAATCTTCCCTAGACTACCATTGGAGAATGTTGACTCACTGATGCCATCGCAAAAAAAAATGTACAAAAAGGTGATATATGGACTACAAGTATTGTGTAATTGATCTAAAAAACCACAACGAAAACTATGAAAAATATTAAACACTGGTTACAGGGAAAAACATTCTGTATACTAATTTATTTATTTACTATAGTAGCTGTTTGAATCTAATTTCACTAGAATGAGTGGTTTTATGTAAATAGTTTGGCTTATTGAGATTTAAACAAATTGATATCAAAAGTTAGAAAATGGAAGAATGGAAATAAACAACATAAACAATAATCTATAAATCCAAGAGAAAAATTGTACAAAAAAATATCAATTAAAATTTGTCAAGCCAGTATTTATATTAAGATACTAGTTCGAGACTGGGAACTTGATGTTAATGTTGAATAAGATTGATAAACCTTTTTGCAACAGCACAAATCTTTCATTAAACCGCCCAAACTATCAGCTGAATCAGTTCTAAACAAACCACTGGATACATCTTCCAAATTGGTGTCTCCTATAAAAGATTCAAGATTGCTTTTCGGGAAGCCATCAGTATAATACAGTTTAATTGTATCGTAAGCATCCATTATAACAGAAATAAATAAACTAAGAATAATGTATATGTACAGACTTATAAAGGAATATAGGTACACTCTACTAAACCACCACAATAAGGGTGATTTTCGTGACATAATTGAGAATGTAGCAAACATATCATCACCATTAATTAATGAAAACAGACATTCTGATGTGGTAGACAAAGATCTAAATTTGAGATGATATGGTCCCAAAATTAACCATCCTGAGAAAGTAAAACCTGCATATATTAAGAGTGCACACAATAAAAATCGAGCCACTTGTGGTGCAGCCTTTTGTAAAGTTAATATCACTACATTGTATGTTCTGAAAAACCCTAAATATCTCAAAACTCCAAACCAAACTAATAAGTTACCTATGCCTAAAAATAAACTACATACATTCCATTGGTCACTAGCAAACGATTCTTTTTCAATATTTTCCTTAATAATAGACCCTACTATAATAAACACGTCATTTATAATTATCATAATATACCAAAGATTTAAAAATTTCATTTTGTCTTTATGGGTTAATGGTTGCTCAAACCTGGTAATAAAGAATTTGTTGGTGATTGTTTTAAGCTGCTGTGCTCTCCACACTGCTCTTGAACACAAAATAAATGAAGTAATACATATGAAAATAACTAGGTAGTTCAGAATACTTCTTAGAATCGATTCTATCTCATTATCAGTTTTATATGAAATGTCACCTTTACAAGTTAAACGTATTGGTTCAGCTTCCAGTGCAACTAACATTTGACCGTCATGATCTGCATTATCAAAGCCAATGATAATATTAAAAAGAAAGCAGTTTGGAGGAGATATTCTTCCAGCTGCTTTAAAGTTCACAGTTTTAATAGGAAATATTAACTCTGCATTCACTAGCGCGGAAAAGTTCACTTCAATATGTTGTTGTTCTATATATAACTTCGAATCAAGAAGTCCACTAAGTGGTTTAGTAATATTAAAACACTCTGTAACTATTTCACTGTTAAATATATATGATTCATTAAAACCAAATATAACACCTTCTTTATATTGTTTTAAACACAACAACATATCACTCATAGTGTTGTCTTCATTGGCATAAGAGTAGGGGCCAACTGCCTTGTCCAATTCAGCATATCCTTTATAAGCATAATCTATTGTGGAATAAAACTCATCAACTCTGTAGATTGCTAAAGGACCTGATGATGGAGGATAAGCATTTACTTCTCTTGTTGCATCCCAGCCCTTTAGGAATAAATGTGAAAATGTTATTCTGTTGTCCCATGTATAATTCACATGATTGTATCTGTAGTAAGCAAAAAAGCAAAGCTGCATCGTTACTAATAATATTTTAATAACCTGTACAATAAATTTGTATGGAAATCTTTTTTTAGCTTGCCACTTTTCAATGGGATTCATGAAAAAAAATTGTAGTTTTCTCCTCATTCTTTCCTCTGTTAAGAGTGGTTTTGTGGGAGTATCACAACAGTTCTGGTTATCGTATATCTCTTCAGTTTCACTTTCTGGAGATCGTGGATGATCCATTTTTGAGAGTTCTAACTGTCCAGGTACTGAAATTGTAAATAATTATTAAAACTAGTTAATCACACAAATCACTGTTGTAAATTACTACATAACGTAAACTTATACACTAAACTGGTAATTTACTTTGATATGACAGTAAGTGCCTTGACCTTTTTTGTTACCCTCCTGCCTTATTTAAAAATGATGTGAACAAAGACAACAAAAGATAAACAACAAAATATCATCAATCATTCATCACATGATTTTGACATACAAATCGAACTGACGTCATTGATTAGGATATTGGATTTGATTTTATAACTACTGTCATGTTTTGAAACTGGAGATATTAATATATATTTTTTATTTAAACTATTTCTGCTAATAATGTTCCCTTCCATTACTTTGCTCCTTCGGTTAATGCTTATTTCTATGTATATTTTTACAGTATAAATGGCGAAAAACAGTTAGTCCGTCTACTGTCAATGGAATCAGCTAACGTCACTTTTAGTTGTCATCGTTGTCATTTTAATTTTCCATCATTTGGAAATTGATGTATTAAATTTATTTTTTAACTCAAGTACAAAACATAGTGTTAGCAATTGTCAAAAACAGTGCAGTCTTTAAGGTATAGATGTATCGAAAAACGTGTAAATTAACTTAATTTATTTAGCAGTTATGTTGGCATTCTACTGACCTTTTTACCCACTACCACTAATCACCTATAAATATGGCAAATATAGAAATTAGACATCTGCTTCAGATAAATAGGTAAGAATAAATCAACATACATAAAATTACGTGCAATAGCCACTATTGGGTTGAATTTTCTACAGTAGAAAGTATTTTGTGGGGATAATAATATAATCTCATTAATATTGAATTCAAAAGTGGCTTCAATTAATAAATCCCAACTTGTCACTTTACATAAATACGTAAATTTATTTAAATACTTCCACTAATACTTTATCTTTTATCGATATTCATGTAGTACAAATTTATCCTCATGATGATGTATTATGAAAATTAGTACCTAACTTAGGAAGTTACAATTTTTTGTAGGGTTTTATTTTTATCATTAAAGCTAATTGTATGTAAACTGCAAGGATATTTGCAAAATTAATTTGAACCAATTTATGTGCAATTAGATATAAAGGCATTCTTGTTAAATGCATTTTCCACTTATTTAAAATTAGGCTTATTTATATATACTACTTATTATAGTCTCAAGTGGTGTTGTGGTTCTGAAAAATTATTTGCCTTTGAATGCATAATGATACTGCTTCCAAAGATTTTGTACTGGTTTAACCATAATTTAGGCCTAAGAAGTTAGACTAGAGAAACAGATATCTTCATCCCCTATCTCCAACCCAATTTTTATTGCTTCCTAAAGCATCTGCTTAAAATTTTTCTTTTATTTTATACTTGTATAGATTTACTCATAGGTATTTTGCAGAATTTGTTCTGTAAATTCCTTATATCATTATTTAAAAACTTTGAAAGACAATTAGTGTTATATTGAGCAGTTTTAATAACATAATTTGTGCAATAAAGCAATTTTAGATATATGTGACAAGTTGCAATATGAAATGAAAAGACTAATTTATACCTAAATGTATTTTCAGTTTTTATTTAAATATAGAAGTATTAAGTAAATAGATTACTAATGATTTTGCTGAAAATCCAGTTAACTAACTTTACAAATTAACTAGATATTAATATAATAATTATTGTAGATAATAATGCCAATTAATTGAAATATAAAGAAAGAAATTTTTGTTGTAAAAAATTAAAAAGTAAAGAAATATTGTTATATACTGTGCACTTGGGCAAATTAAAAAATTAGCTCCTTGTATGTACAAGGGAAAGTTGTTCAGAATTCAGGTCAAGTTGTTGAGAACATAGACTGGTTTATTGAAACAGTTTTATATATATATAAACCATGCTATAAACTAAAAAGTTAATATTTTTTACCACTATAAAGGATACATAAGTCAACAAAAAGTATTAGTCATATATTTTTAATAGTATAACAATAGTTGTTATGTTAATTTTTTAATTCAAGTTTTTTGTTCATAATATTGTTAAATGAAATTTTAAAACTTTGTTTATTTTATAGTAGTTTGAAAAATAAAAAAATTGCACTTGGATGAGTGCCAACAGAAGTGAAAATATTGGTTTCTGGGAAACATTTTTAATATTGAGAAATTGCTTAATTTCACTGAATCAAAATACATTTAAAATAGTTATTCTTTTGTATTTTTCATACACAGTAGTTCTACAAATATGTCCCACTAAGTTGGAAACATGTCAAAAACTTTTTCTTTATTAATTTTATGAAATAAAAAATTCTTTATAAAAAGTTCTTTATAATTTTTTTTACTTTGAACATTTTTATCTTTTGTGATCAAGAAACATATGATAACCTTATCGCTTCTAAATGTTTTCTAACAATTTTGCAATTTAAACACGTAATTAATACATGTGCATTTATTTTACAAATAGAAACATAATGTCACCTAGGGTTAGTGTGATGTAAAAATATGCAAATTTGATTTTAAAATAAACAAAATATATATTTATTTTTAATTGAATGGTTTCAGATTTTTAATGAAGACTTTCTGGTCAATTGTCACAATCATTGCACAGTGAATAGGCATGTTGGGATCCCTTCATTATGGGATTACTGTGATGAAGATTAGGGATAGTGTGACTATCTACTAGTTTTTTTACTATTTAAAAGCATTTAGGATTGAATATATCTTGGTGTGGCAAAGAAACACATTACAAAAAAAAAAATTGTAATAATTTTTGGCATTTAAAAATTCAACAATTTTAGAAAAAACAAATGTGAAATTTCTTATTTAAAACACCAATTTGTTAATTAAATTTAGTTATTTTATTGAGAACCTTTTCTTATTTTACAAATTCAGTAACATCTAACATTCAAAAACATCAACTTTTCCATTAAAAGTATACCAAATTCTTTCACCATTAAGGGATCTCAACACAAGTCTTTTTATCCTTATCAACACTTCTTAATCCTACCACTACTATTTCATCTTTAGTGTCACCAAAGTTTACAATTACACACACATACCTAAAAGCAGTACCACATTTACCATCAATAAAAGTTGCAACTATAAAAGAGCTTTGTTTAATATCTTCCTCGTTTATAGATTTTAATGTCTCACTTTCCTATATGAATTCCTCTTCTGCTTCGTCACTTTCCCCCAAAGATGTATCTTCTATCTCCTCATCACTACTGATTCTTCTTTCTTTGACTTTTTCTTGATTGTTTTTGGACAGGTTTTATGTGTTCCTTTAAGGGACTAAGCCCTTTTTGTCTTTAAATAACTGATGTATTCTTTTTTTGTTATTATTTCTGTAGTATCAATTCTTCGTTTAACTTTCTTTTTATGCTAGTTTGAACTATCTTTTCCAGAAGCATATGCTCAAACACTTTCTCTGGTGCACATAAAAAGTTCGGTGATTTGACACCATTGTAATGACTGGAGGATTGGCCAGAGATTTGATGCTCTTTTAATAGAGTAATAGATGACTTGCTCTTCTGATGGACTGGAGGTTGGGGAGCAACAGCATTCTCTGTTATGGTCCCAGATATGGGATTGACAATTATTGAATGTTTTTTGACTTTGCATTTGATAGACTGTTTAAATCACTTTAGTTTATCAAGATGATAATTTTCTTCTTTAATGGCTAATCTAGTAACTTGTGATAAGACATCTGGATCATAAATGTTCGTTTTCTTAAAACCACTATTGCTCTTCAGACATATTTATTTTTCCTTCATTCTACTAATACCTCGACATATCAACATTTTTGTCTACTATATCAATGGAACTTTAACTGTAGTTACATGAAATCTAGGATGCCCTGATAAAAATATGATTTGTTTATAACAAGATATGTTTGACATTTACTTTCAAAACATTAGTTGTATTTAGTTACATGAAATCTACAATACAGTAATAAACTGTTTTTAGCTAAATGTATTTGACATTTACTTCTAAAACAACAGTTGTATTTAGACAAATTTGTTAGAAAGTATTGTTAAAATTTAGTAGAAATGCCTGCAACATTAAGTACAGGATACATTTTAGATACTTTTACAAGATAAAATTGAAATTGTTTTGATTGTGGTATAACAATATAAAACACATAGATAACAGCTATTATTTTTAATAATAAGATCCCAATAAAAATATATATCATTCCACTGTTACGAAAATAGTAAATAAATTTAAGAGCACTGGAATTATAAAAAATAATTTTAATAGAAAATGCAAAAACATGGTTGCCAATGAGAATACACAGTTTGAAGTAATGTTGCCTGTGATAGAAAATCCAACACTCTCATTGTGCAAGCAGAAATAGTTGATGCAATAAACCGTAAGTAAAAATACAATAGCAAGAATTTTGAACTAAATAAATGCAAGCCATTTAGACCAAAAATCATCCATACATTGAAAGAAAGAGATTTTGATAGGCACTTTAATTTTTGCTGTCTCGTCTAAGGGGAGTTAGAAGAGGACCTATGTTCCTACTGGCAAAATAAATGCACATGCATGAATTACGTGTTTAAAATGTAAAATTGTTAGAAAATCTTTAGAAATGATGCAGTTTTCATGTGTTTCCTAATCACAAAAGAAAAAAATATTCAAAATACAAAGATTAGTAAAAAATAACAAAACTTATTTTTTTTTTAATGTAAATATATGTATATTTGAATTAGCTTTCAGTTTAATTACTATTTAACTGGGAGTAAGCCACAATTAAAGATAAAAATACGTTTATTGACGTTTCAATTTCCACTTCAGAAATCGTTCTCAAAATACAAACAGTAAATTAAACAAATTTTGTTTTTTGTTACATAGTGAAAAATTCTTTTAATAATTTAATTTTATCTGACTCATTTATATTGACAATTCAGACATACATTATGCATTTTAAAGTAGACGACTTTAAAATGATATTGCCAATATTGTTGAGTTGCGCTCCTGGGATGACTTTACTTATAAGATAGTTCATTCGATTACATGAAATCAACTTTAACTTGAGAATATCCGTCAGAAAAAAATCATAGCATGTAATTCGTCTTGAAAAAGACAAACACATGATGACAGTAAAATGCTCCTGTTAGTGATTCCATAGTAAATTATGAGGGAAAAACCAGGTAAAAAAAACCTCATAATACTATCCCGACATGGTAAGTATTTGTTCGTGCATTTAGTTTACCTTCAATAAACACCAAAATTCTGATTTTATATGTTTCGTTATTTAAAAAAACGTAAATGATGTATCCTCTATATGTTACTAACTTACTAATGCTGGTATTTTCTTATTAATAACTTACTCTTTCAATATTGGTAACCAGATCCTACTACATTCTGCCGAGGAATTTGCAATAGCTTCAGAACAATAGCTTTTAGTTTTGATCAACTTTTCTTAGTAACAATTTTCAACATTTGAAATATAAAGGTACTTTAGTCTTGCCAAAATTCATATTTTTTGACATACCTCATATACTATTAATAGAATTTGATATATGATGATTCTACTTTAGATTTTAGAAAATGCAGAACTTTATATGAAGAATAATTTTTTTTTTTCATAAAATTTATAAAAAAATTTTCCATGTGGTTCCAACTTAGTGGGACATATTGTATATACAGTAGAATTCTGTAACTTTGGTGACCTATGACTTATTAACAGGAAAAAAATTAATCTGATACATGAAAAAGCATAGG